ACTGTTTACAAGTTCTCAAACAGGATGGGGTGGGGGTGACCCAAGGGGACTCGCCTTATATTTCATTTGATTTGTTTTATTGTTCCATACAAGAAAATATATGGTTTCGGGGTGGGGATCTTGACCGTTTACAAGTTTTCAAAAAAAAGGGGGTGGGGATTTCCCCAGGGGACTTTCCCTCAATTTCATTTGATTTGTTTTATTATCCCATTCAAGAATATATATGGTTTAGGGGTGGGGATCTCAACCGTTTACAAGTTCTCAAACAGGAGGGGGGTGGGGGTGACCCAAGGGGACTCGCCTTACATTTCATTTGATTTGTTTTATTGTCCCATACAAGAAAATATATGGTTTCGGGGTGGGGATCTTGACCGTTAACAAGTTTTCAAAAAAAAAGGGGATGGGGGTTTCCCCAGGGGACTTCCCCTCAATTTCATTTGATTTGTTTTATTGTCCCATTCAAGAATATATATGGTTTGGTAGTGGGGATCTCGACCGTTTACAAGTTATCAAAAAGAAGGAGGGGTGGGGGTTACCCCCATGGACTTCTTCTATATTTCATTTGATTTGATTTATTGTCCCATACAAGAATATATATGGTTTCGGGGACGGGATCTTGACCGTTTACAAGTTCTCAAAAAGTAGGGGATGGGGGTGACCCCCATGGACTTCCCCTATATTTTCATTTGATTTGTGTTATTGTCCCATACAAGAATATATATGGTTTAAGGGTGGGGATCTCGACCGTTTACAAGTACTCAAACAGGAGGGGGTTGGGGTGACCCCAGGGGACTCGCCTTTTACTTCATTTGATTAGTTTTATTGTCCCATACAAGAATATATATGGTTTCAGGGTGGGGATCTTGACCATTTACAAGTTTTCAAAAAGAAGGGGGGTAGGGGTTACCCCAGGGGACTTCCCCTCAATTTAATTTGATTTGTTTTAATGTCCCATTCAAGAATATATATGGTTCAGGGGTGGGGATCTCGACCGTTTATACAAGTTTTCAAAAAGAAGGGGGTGGGGGTTACCCCCATGGACTTCCCCAATATTTCATTTGATTTGTTTTATTGACCCATACAAAAATATATATGGTTTAGGGGTGGGGATCTTAGTCGTTTACAAGTTTTCAAAAAGAAGGGGGGTTGGGGTGACCCCCCTGGACTTCCCCTATATTTCATTTGATTAGTGTTATTGTCCCATACAAGAATATATTATGGTATAGGGGTGGGGGTCTCGACTGTTTACAAGTTCTCAAACAGGATGGGGTGGGGGTGACCCAAGGGGACTCGCCTTATATTTCATTTGATTTGTTTTATTGTCCCATACAAGAATATATATGGTTTAGGGGTGGGGATCTCGACCGTTTACAAGTTATCAAAAAGAAGGAGGGGTGGGGGTTACCCCCATGGACTTCTTCTATATTTCATTTGATTTGATTTATTGTCCCATACAAGAATATATATGGTTTCGGGGACGGGATCTTGACCGTTTACAAGTTCTCAAAAAGTAGGGGATGGGGGTGACCCCCATGGACTTCCCCTATATTTTCATTTGATTTGTGTTATTGTCCCATACAAGAATATATATGGTTTAAGGGTGGGGATCTCGACCGTTTACAAGTACTCAAACAGGAGGGGGTTGGGGTGACCCCAGGGGACTCGCCTTTTACTTCATTTGATTAGTTTTATTGTCCCATACAAGAATATATATGGTTTCAGGGTGGGGATCTTGACCATTTACAAGTTTTCAAAAAGAAGGGGGGTAGGGGTTACCCCAGGGGACTTCCCCTCAATTTAATTTGATTTGTTTTAATGTCCCATTCAAGAATATATATGGTTCAGGGGTGGGGATCTCGACCGTTTATACAAGTTTTCAAAAAGAAGGGGGTGGGGGTTACCCCCATGGACTTCCCCAATATTTCATTTGATTTGTTTTATTGACCCATACAAAAATATATATGGTTTAGGGGTGGGGATCTTAGTCGTTTACAAGTTTTCAAAAAGAAGGGGGGTTGGGGTGACCCCCCTGGACTTCCCCTATATTTCATTTGATTAGTGTTATTGTCCCATACAAGAATATATTATGGTATAGGGGTGGGGATCTCGACTGTTTACAAGTTCTCAAACAGGATGGGGTGGGGGTGACCCAAGGGGACTCGCCTTATATTTCATTTGATTTGTTTTATTGTCCCATACAAGAATATATATGGTTTAGGGGTGGGGATCTCGACCGTTTACAAGATAAAAGCACATTCTCAAATTGAAGGGGGGTGGGGTTAGAATATATATTGATTAGGGAGACTTAATTATCTACAAAATGTCTAATAATGAACAGTAAATTTCAAACTTCATTTATACAGTCCTACTAGTAAATTTCAAACTTTATATATACAGTCCTACAGATCTTATCAGGAAACAGAATTTTTTTCAAATAAATCTGTGACTCCAATGATTATCATATGCTAAGATATAACCCAGATCTAATTAATAATTAATAATGTAATAATCTTCAAAATGTCTAATAATATAGCTTATAATCATCACCACTTAGGAAATAGATAATTTTCAAATAAATCTGTCTCTCCAATATTTATTGTGAGATAAGACAAGTCATAAAATAATAACAAGAGATAAATATTTTAAAATTCCACTTTTGGATATTAAAAATGGATTTGATTTGTTTTATTGTAACATACTAGAACATAGGTATATTGTTTCAGGGTGGGGATCTTGACCGTTTACAAGTTATCAAAAAGAAGGGGGGGTGGTAGTTACCCCAATGGACTTCCCCTATATTTCATTTGATTTGTTTTATTGTCCCATAGAGAACGAAAACCAATTTTGGGACATACGGCATACGTACTTACAGACAGACAAGCGTAAAACTTAATGCCTCCTCAACTACAGGCATAAAAGTATGGCAAACTGATTTGCCAAACTGAAGGACAAACAGACAGAAAGACAGACAGACAGACACACAGCCTACCAAAAAAGTTTCAAACAATTTACCAATGATATTTCGCCAATAATTCAAATTTATTTCCATGAACCAGTAACAAAACACCAAAATAATTCTCTAAAATTAGATATCACTTAACCACTCATAAATCTCTAAAATTAGATATGATTTTATATCTATCAATTAAACACATCACTTTTCAAAACAAATAACTCAAACTTATTTCCATAAACCAGTAAAAAACCAGCAAAATACTTCTCTAAATTCAGATATGATGTTATATCTATTTCCATATTATAATCAAATCTAATTAATAGTTGCTAATATTGTTTCTTTCATGTGTCAAAAAATAATACAGATCTGCAACTTATCTATCAATGTCAAAAACTTTATCTTATAATAAAAAAAGATTATTATCTAATTAAAAACAAGTTCAGATTCAGCACTTGAAAGAACCCTATATATATTTAATTTATGTTCAAATATAACACTCACAAACTGATTAATTTTCCCAGGGGACCTGCCCTTTATTTCATATGATTTGTTTTTTTGTCCCATACAAGGATATATGGTTTAGGGGCGGGGATCTCGACCATTTACAAGTTCTTAAACAGGAAGAAGGTGGGAATGACCCCAAGGAACTCACCTTTTATTTCATTTCATTTGTTTTATTGTAACATACAAGAATATATATGGTTTCGCGGTGGGGATCTTGACCGTTTACAAGTTTTCAAAAAAAAAGGAGAGTAGGGGTTACCCCAGGGGACTTCCCCTAAATTTAATTTGCTTTATTTTATTGTCCCATACAAGAATATATATGGTTTAGGGGTGGGGATCTCAACCGTTTACAATTTCTCAAACAGAAAGGGGTGGGGGGTTACCACAATGGACTTCCCCTATATTTCATTTTGATATCTTTTATTGTCCCATACAAAAATATATATGGTTTAGGGGTGGGGATCTCGACCGTTTACAAGTTCTTAAACAGACACGCTGGGGGTGACCCCAGGGGACTCACCTTTTATTTCATTTGATTTGTAACATACAAGAATATATATGGTTTCAGGGTGGGGGAGCTTGCACATTTACAAGTTTTCAAAAAAAGGAGGGTAGCTGTGAACCCGAGGACTATCCCAATATTTCATTTGATTTGTTTTATTGTCCCATACAAGAATATATATGGTTTAGGAGTAGGGATCTCAACCGTTTACAAGATAAAAGCACATTATCAAATTGAAGGGCGGTAGGGGTAAGAATATATATGATTAACGGACACTTAATTATCTACAAAATGTCTAATAATGAACAGTAAATTCCAAACTTCATTTATACAGTAATACTAGTAAGTTTCAAACTGTATATATACAGTCCTACAGATCTTATCAGAAAACAGAAAATTTTCAAATAAATCTGTCACTCCAATGATTATCATATGCTAAAATATTTCCAAGATCTAATTAATAATGAAAATAAATCATTATCATATGCTAAAATATTTATAATATCTAATTGAACAGAACTATGGTTGTTTAACATAGTACTCTAACATAATTAATAATGTAATAATCTTCAAAATGTCTAATGATATAGCTTATAATCATTACCACTTAGGAAATGATAATTTTCAAATAAATCTGTCACTCCAATTTTTATTCTGAGATCAGACAAATCATAACATGATAACAACAGTAAAATATTTAAAAATTCTACTTTTGGATATTAAAAATGGCGATAACTCACACAGGAGATATACTAAAATCTTGAAAATTAATAGAGACCTTTATTAAGTCCCAGGAAACAACATATTTAAATTTGAAAAAAAAATGTTAAAGCGTTTTCATGTTATTGTGCTGACACTGTTTGGCAGCCGCCAGTACCGCCCAACCGCCCGCCGTATATCACCATTTTAATAACCGATATTTCCTTCGAAAATCCGGTTAATAATGTGAATAAAAAACTTTAAAACACTTATCAATTTGGAAACTGAGTTCAGAACTTAATAATGCAATTGCTTGTAACTTGAGATTATTTTTTATAGGGTAACCCTAAACACATTATGAAGACTTTAAAGGAAAGATCATGCCTATTCAGCTAGACCTAGACTAAGACGACTTCAAAGACAATATTCGCAGCATTTTTAATAGACTAGCCAACAAAGAGTTTCAGATATTCACAGTCAGTCAGCAAAGGGAGTTTATACCAGCTCTTTTAAACCAACAGTTTTTTAAAGAACAGAAGTACCAAGTTATTGTTAAGATTCAGATTTGATTTTCTCAACATTAATTATTATTCCAAAGTTAAAAATACTTAGTCCTGAAATACATGCATGTTTAGTAGTAAAATAATAGCTAACTAATGCATATGTGTATGGAAACACTAAAGTACTTTTGTAAATAAATGATTCAACGCTATAACTATTGATGTAGATGCTGTATTTTTGAAGTAATTCCTGGCTGTATCATTTTTTTTATATATAACCAAGTTTCATTTTATATTACATTTAAAATGTTAGCTGATATAAATGTTAAACTCAGATCGATGTCTGGTCTGTATACAATGACTGTTCCTTTAATTGACTGACAGACAGGGGTAAATTAATATGCCCCTCGATATTTTGTCGCGGGGGCATAAAAAATAACTTGAAGTATTTTTTTATTTAAATCATAAGCAGTTTATTTATTAACAAGCGCTGCGCACTGAGCAGGGAATTATTATCCTTCTTTGGAAACTGAATTCACATCCAATTTTTTGCTACATTTTTTGGATCTATAACATGTATAAAGGGGGCCCGGACCAAAATTTGCCCCGAAATCCCTATATATATATATTTTTTTTTTTTATTAATTCTGAAAGCTCTTTTTCTGTGCTGGAAGCATCTAAAGTCCCACATTCAGCTTTTTTTTTGTGTCTGATGTAGAACTGTTGAGACGCGCTCTAAAACACTATTGATGGTTGCTGAGATTTAGCAAGACGATCCAATTGTAGTTTAGTTCGTAAATGGCGGCTTGAATGTGGTGTCATTTAAATCGATGTATATGATTGGACGAAATTATTTAGCATGGTCGATAATCCATTGTGATTGGGTATATATGCATTTACGAATCGCGCGTTAAACTGTTATTATCTAATAATGTGGTTCCCGCGTTCCATTATTATAGATTGTCGACCGTTAATGCATTTATGATCGATAATAATAGATTGTCTACGATAATTTCGTAAATGAATTTACGACCGATAATTATAGTTAAGGTAAATCTATAATGATCGACCGATAATCTATCATTATCCCCGATGAACTGTGATTATCTCATTTATGTGGTTCCCGCGTGCCATATTTTATAAAATAAATATTTCTCCAGTAGGAACTAATATTATAAAGAACTTTTATTCCAGAATAAATTTACTAGCATGGAATTCGTGCTATTATTTATCTTTTGGTTCCTTTATTCGTGCACGCTTATATAAATAACATCACTGTGTCTAAACGGTACCCCGGCAAAAAATGTTTCGTCTCAATAGTATCTAATATCCGATACGCTGACGGACTACCGACAGACATAAAAAAAAGTAGGATTTCTGGTTTTTTTATTTGTTATTTTTATGAAAGTGAAGAATATGATTACACATATACCTATTTTCGATTGTGAGATGTAATATTTTTTACAACCGTTCTAGATTAATGTAGAAATAAGAAAAACTGCACGTCAAAATGGTCACTGAAATTGAGTGAACGAACCTTACCTCGAATTTGTTCAATATCTCATTAAATTGTTCAAATTGTACGGAAATATAGATATAAACATGCATGGAGATTGCAAGACTAGTCACTTTTAGCACTTCAGTATTTGTATTTCTATGCATGGAACGACAGAAATGGGTCATGTCAAAATGGAAGGACCCGGTTTTGTCAAAATGTACGACCCGGTTTCGTCCTTAAATTTCACAAAGCAGGACCCGGTTGTCATAGTAAATAATGCATAAACACATAATATAAATTAAAATCCGGCGTTCAACAGGTGTTTACTGGCTCGTTGCAAAACGATTTCACTCAGAGAAAGAAGTTATAATTTATTTGAATCCGTAAACACTTGGATTCGTGCTTTATTGGAACAAAACAATATTAAATTTTGCCTTTTATAAAAACGATTATTTTTATGGACGCATGCAATTTATAAATCAGTGTTTTCATTTTTTACTTCACTGGGTCGATACCGCTGTATGTGGACTATCAGTCCCCGAGGGTACTCATTAGCTCAATAGTCAGTACTTCGGTATTGACATGATTTTAAACAAACTTTTTTGAATTGTCCGTTTATAAATTTAGAAATTATTAAAGTCATATGAAACTTCAAATTTACAAAAAAAGTTGAAAATGTTTTATATACTTGAATGGCTAAATTTTACTATAAAACAAGTGTAAGTAAACTTTCTTGTAAAAGAAAATACTTGTATATTATCAAAATCTTTATAAATGTACTGCTATTGAATTATTGTCTTCCCGTACACCAATTCGCCGATATTTTCCCGTATGCAGTGACCTTAACTACGAAATCTCTCGTTAGAACTTCGACCACAGCAAGTGCGAGGGGGGAAACCGTGATGACAGAATGTAAACAAACATGCACTGGAAAGTAAAAAGTAATATTATTGTCTGTTCGCCGTCTGTCCGTCCGTCCGTCCGCCCGGTCTTGTTATCGCTCTCACGTGTACAATTCTTGACGGATTTTTTATAAAAATGATATCATAGATTTATATCAGCAATGTCTCGGACGTGTTTGAAAATCAGTGCCGATGAACTATTTTAAAAAGAATTGTGCCCCTAGGAAACATTATCTATATGGAAAATTACATCGTTAGCGCTCTCATGTGTACAATTCTTGCCATATTTTTATATAACTAATATCATATAAAAATAAGGAGATGTGGTATGATTGTCAATGAGACAACTATCCACCAAAGTTCAAAATAAGTGGATGTAAGCAATTATAGCCAACCATACGGCCTTCAATAATGAGAAAAACCCATACCGTATGGTCGGCTATAAAAGGCTCCGACATGAAAAATATGAAACAATTCAATTGAGAAAACTAACGGCCCAGCTTATAACAAAACAATTTACGAAAAACGTTATGACAGACATGAACCAACGACAACCACTGAACTACAGGCTCCTGACTTGGGACAGGCACATAAAGAATGTGGCGGGGTTAAACATGTTTGTGAGCGCTCAACCCTCCCCCTAACCTGGGACAGTGGTGTAACAGTACAACACAAGAACAAACTATAAAAATCAGTTGAAAAAGGCTTACCTCATCAGATGGATACAGGTAGAAATACATCTAACAAAAACACAGAGTGGCCGTGGACGGGTACTTATACATCCCCACGATAAAAAGACACTAAGTACAGATCTGAGAGTACTCGCAGTTACTGACAGCTAGTTCAAAGCCAATAACAACTGATAAAAAAAATCATGTATCTAAGACTAAAATATCAATCATTACACATCCAACATCCAATGGATTTAGTGTAAAGACGTCATTAACAGTCAGAGAAAAACATTACCTTGTGCAAAGCCAAACTATAGGTATCGACAGATTGTAGTACCGTGAAAGTAAATATGTGTAATATTTAGTATGGTTTTCATTTACTGATAACAAAATCAATATTTATACCAATAAAACAATATTCAAAGATTTAATTACAGTGATGAATAGGTAACCTTTTACAATAAATTTATTCAAAGGATTGATAAGTTTACCCGGATCGTATCTAAATTTCCGGGGGGGGGGGGATATGTTTATATCAACAATGTCTCGGACGAGGTGGAAAATCAGTGCCGATCAATAATTTTTAAAAGAGTTATTCCCCTTGGAAACATCAATTATATGGAAAATTGCATCGTTAGCGCTCTCATGTGTACAATTCATGCCAGATGTTTAAGAAACTTATTTCATAGGTTTATATAAGCAATGTCTCGGACAATTCCGATCAAATATTTTTATCGAGTTATGCCCCTTGGAAATATTATATCAGGAATGGCATTGCACTTACTCTCAAGCTTTCATTTCTCAAAGATATGTATAAAAGTTTCAGTTAAAAAAATGTTTTTTTCAGTAATTGTCCTTGGATCAGAGGCCCTTGGACCTTGGGCAGATAAAATATGTGCCACGCGGGGGACATTGGAACTCTGTTTTTTATTGATACTTTGTCTTCTCAATTATACCACAAGGCAAACACATTTTTTACCGATGTCCGTGGCCCATTCTCATTCATTTCTATGCAAGTTAACAAGGACGATTCTGATTGGTCGGTATAAATTATTTAGAAGGTCAGCTGTTACGTCACAAAAGGTCACAAAAGTGAAACTTTTTATACATCCGTCTCAGATCTTATATATACGAGTTGTTATAGATTTGAATTTTAATCAGATTGACATGACCTCTTTTGTGAGATACTCGAGACGTGAAATGGCTTGGGTATGGTGTTGTGTCATGTCAACATTGTTCTTTAAATAAAATAGATGATGAAGATAATTTCTTATTTAAATGCACACAAAATGAAAACTTGAGCCTTGAATTCTTAAAAAAAAAATCTATTCAAATATAGATGATATTGATAACTCGGATAAATTGGTTTTATGTCTTTCATGTCCGTCAGTTATGCGGTATGTTGCTCCATTTATGAAAAAGTCATGGTCACTGAGGAGAGTGGATTCAACAACTACATGATATGTACATATATAAATTCATGTCTTGTATTTCATTATTTTTGTGATGCATTATATTTTGTTAATTTTTCATTTATGCCATCAACCCCATTGGGGTATAATAGTGCATTATTTCAATAAAAAAGATATAAACACATTAAATCTGTTTTCAACTGTTTCGGAAGCCACTTCTAGGTCCAACAAAATAACTAGTAGACCTTTAAACAGCAGCTCAGTTTAGAAACATAGATGTAACTGTCCAGTACAACATTTCATTATGAAATAGTGTCCTTGTCCATGAAATTTTGTCTCCTCCTTCTAGACAATATTTCACTATAAAATACTGTCCATGACAATATTTCACTGTGAAATACTGTCCATTATAATATTTCTTAATCTAATTATGTCTTCTCTGATGATTCCTCTGACAAGAAATTGTGAGCGTTTCTGGATTTTTTAAAAATATTTTTCATGAAAAGTATATGTAAAACCATAAATTGCTGCACAACTTAATTAAGCAGGTTTGTTTGTTATTACCAATCAAATAAAACACGTTAATGATATCATTATCCAAAATATAACATAAACATAACAATCCTGATCCATTACCTGTACAAGATTCTCCGCCCTTTAAACTAGATTGTAACATGAATCTTCTTTTTTCCTTTGATCTTTTTATGGAATGAAATAGAGTCGACAAGCATTTACCATAATGTATGCTCTTAATTGAAGCAACCAAATGATATTGCATGAAAGATCACATGGGCCTATATAACTCAATGAGAAAACAGCCATGCAAGAACCAACAACACTAAAACCAATATTGCATGGGTAAGCTCCACCTCCTTAGGAAAAGATTACGCCTACAAAAAAGCAAATGCAGGTTTTCTCCGTCAGACAAGAGAACAAAATATGTAATGTCCACTCCTACATATCAAGAAATGACCGAAAAAAATAAATATTATATAAATATATTGTTTCAATCTATAACTTAATGGGCAGGTCATTCATGTCGCAAATCATTTATAGCAACGCCTTCCTCGTTAGCCAAATAAATTTCTCACGCTTCGCGTTCGAAAGTTTATTTGTCTAACTCGACATACTAAGCTATAAATATAAAAGAGAAACTATAAGCCCTAAACCTACTTTTAAAAGTTCTAGGTTTAAAAGAGGGGGTATACTGGTTTACCTCTCTGTCCTCTAGCTCATTTCTGTCGCATTTTTGTCAGTAACAAGAAGTCATAAAGCTTATGGTTATATAGTAACAAGCTACATTTTAGTTTCTTGTGTACAATTTGGAGTTTAGTATGGCGTTCATTATCACTGAACTAGTATATATATTTGTTTAGGGGCCAGCTGAAGGACGCCTCCGGGTGCGGGAATTTCTCGCTGCATTGAAGACCTGTTGGTGACCTTCTGCTGTTGTCTGTTCTATGGTCGGGTTGTTGTCTCTTTGACACATTCCCCATTTCCATTCTCAATTTTAATTTTACATCTGATTATACCATACTGTGTGACACATTTCCAGCACAGCGAGAAAATTCCGCACCCGGAGTTGGCTTCAGCTTGCCCCTAAACAAAAATGTGTACTAGTTCAATGAAAATGGACGTCACACTAAACTCCAAAACATATAAATGAACTAAAATTAAAAAACAAACAAGATTAACAAAGGCCAGAGGCTCCTGACTTGGGACAGGCGCATAAATGCGGCGGGGTTAAACATTTTTGTGAGATATCAACCCTCCCCCTATACATCTAGCCAATGTAGAATAGACAAACACACAGTAAAACTAGTTTAAAAGAAGTCCGAGTCCGATGTCAGAATAGGTAACAAAAAAACTAAGCAAAATGACAATGATACATAAATTAACAAGGGACTACTAGCAGTTACTGACATGCCAGCTCCAGACCTCAATTAAACTGATTGAAAAATTATGTCTTCATCATATGAAAATCAAGCACAATCCCTCCCGTTAGGGGTTTAGTATCATACCGTCATAAAATATATGAGAAGAACATAACCCGTATCATGCCAACAACTGGTTTTAGAATAAATGTGTTTATTTCCGATGCAAAGACCTTATGAGTGAATCAATATTAATACCAAAATATGCCATCTTTAATGACCTGGCAACAGTATCGTAACTATATCCCTTCTGAATAAGTCTGTTTAAAGGTTTGGTTAGCTTTTGAGGTGAATGTCGACATTTTTGTGATTTGTATAGAATACTACCATAAAAGATTGGATGTGAAATACCATAACGTATAAGATGTCTGCATGTTGATTCATATTTACGAATGATGTCCTTGTACCGATGATAAAATTTAGTAAATGTTTTGACTAGTTTGTGATATCGAAAACCCTGGTGTAATAATTTTTCAGTAATACAGAGGTTTCTTTCGTTAAAATCAAATACGTTGTTACATAAACGAGCGAATCGAACAAGTTGAGATATATAAACACCATAAGATGGTGACAAGGGAACGTCACCATCTAAAAATGGATAATTAACAATAGGAAATGAAAAATCATCTCTTTTATCATACATTTTGGTATTAAGCTTCCCGTTAAAGATATAGATATCAAGATCCAGGAAAGGGCAGTGTTCATTGTTAGTACTAGCTTTATTTAAAGTCTGTTCAGCAGGATAAATCTCTTAAGTGTACATACTGAAGTCGTCATTATTGAGAGCCAATATATCATCCAAATATCTAAAAGTGTTATTAAATTTTTGTATCAGATGTTGTTTCGATGGGTCTTTGCTGATTCTAGTCATACATTGTAACTCATAACAATACAGAAACAGGTCCACAATAAGTGGTGCACAGGTAGTCCCCATTGGAATTTCGATAACTTGACGATATACGGAATCTCCGTAGCGAACAAAAATGTTATCTAGTAAAAATTCCAGGGCAGTTATCGTATCAAAGCAGGTCCAATTGACAAACTTCTTTTGTCTGTTGTTACTAAAAAATGACCTAAAAGAGTTAGAACATATATATTCGCATTCTGACTTTTTAAATGCCCATCTAATTAGGTGTGTGATTTTTTTTCTTAATAAGATTATGAGGCAAAGTGGTATATAGGGTAGAAAAATTAAATCTTTGAACAGATTCGAAATCACCAATATAAGCATGCAATTTATCAAGTACTTCCAACGAACTTTTGACACCCCAAAAGTAATTAATTCCACTATTTTCAAAGGCCTTATTTGAACAATTTATTACCAGGTTTTTGATTGTACCAAGTGTACTAGTAAGTAGAATAGACAGTTTAGTAGTGGAACAATGGCTTGAAGACGAAATAAATCTATATTTGTAAGGTGTTTTGTGCAGCTTCGGAAGCCAGTACATAGTTGGAAATTTCATTGTATTTGGTTCTGCTTGTAAAGAGGTAGCTAAAAGTTTATGTTTGTTACAGATGTCATTTTCCGAAAATGGAGTCAGTTGGAATGTTGGTGAATTCGTGATTTCCTTCTGCAGAACCTCAATGTAAAAAATTACGTCAAACAATAATGATATTATTAGCAGCCTTATCAGCCGGGACAAAAACAAATTCCATGGCGAGTTCTTGATACGAGAAATAGGGCTATTATGGTTGTTGTTAGGAGTAAAACGTTCTTTAAAATGTTTAATACGAATATCAACTATGTTCATTGCTGAATTAAAAAAAGAATCTAAGGATTTTTTGTCAGCTTTTTCTCGTTTTATCCATTTCGAGCAGTAAGTACGGAGTGAGTCGTGGCTGATGTTACGACACTCATTCCAATTAATAATTGACGGGGGACGATATTTAGGTCCTTTACTGAGGAATGATTTCAACTCTCGGTCATGAACGATGTTAAGGTCTCCTGTTATAACATGGGAACTGGGGCCATAAATGTATTAGGAATTACTGCAATTTCATAAAGTATGTGTATTGTCACTGATATTAACAGCTTTACACACTTCGCTATAATTAAACACATATTTCCGGGTAGATTTTTTGTAA